TTCTGTATGGTACACAAGCAGTACGCTGGGTTAGTCTTTGGGGTATTTCCTCTGAGGGAAATTACAAAACACTCTAACTACAAAAATCTACTGCATCTACAAAATTTTAAAATGCTTTTTACATCTAAACTTATACAAGTAAAGCCTAAGAATATGTTTTTAAAAACCATTACCAAAAAAGCATTTGAAGTTTTAGGCTGCGAGAACAAAATACTTCTTCAAAAATCAAATGCCAATTAATTTTCTGATAGGATAATTCATTAAAGCTTTTGCTACACCTTTTGCACTTCTTAATGTAAGTTTTCTTCCTTTACTTTTCTACACTTTCTTAATTTTCTAACATACTAACATGATTTTCATAAACAGTAAAATGAAGAAAATTTAAAACGTGAGGAAAATAAGGCTAGTTATTTTTTAAAAAAACTTATCACCAACTTGAACATACTCATCAGTCTCTGAAAACGTTTTTAACAACTTACACAAATATATAAACTCATAAAAACTGAATTTGATGAAGCTTTATAAATATGCGGCCATGCCATTTGTTCTTTAGATTTGTTTTATAGGAGCTAACATACAAAACCTAGCTAGTATGCAAAAATCTTGTGATAACCATGTATAGTCACTGAGACCTTATTTTTTAAGGTGATAATGGTAATAAAAACCACTAGTATTCTTCAACTATTATTAATGCAAAAAGTAAAAATGAGTATTTATTCTTGGGAGCAATAATCTGTAAATGGTATTGGAATTTTAATGGTATAAACTATTAATCTTTAAAAAAGTCACATTATTCAGGTTTGTTTCTTTTGGGATTACAAAGTGAGGCCTCTGTGTTGTGGGTGTGTCTGTGTATTTGGGTGGCTGGGGGGGACAGCTCCTATTTTAATCTTTTTGTATACTTATCTGACACGTTTCTGAAAATATACTACAGCTACTACTACTTCTGCTATTATTAATATAATTTATTAAGAGTTTACCACATATCAAGTTGATAGTACTCTTTAAATTCTATCATGATGCACGTTCTATAATTATACCATTTTAAGATGAGGAAACAGCAATAGAGTGGTTAAGAAACTTCCCTAAGGCTACTTAGCTAGTAGTAGGTGGCAGAGCTGGGATCTGAACATTGGCCAGTTGGCTTTAGAATTAAGTCTTAATCTCCACACAATATGACCTCACATAATATCAACTACTATGAGTAAAGGGACACTATAAGATGATTAGCCTCAAAATCACTTAGGACATTCCAGCTTGCATAAGTACTCTAAATAACTACTACAAACCTCAGACTTTGAAGTGATTTTTCAGAATTATAGTTAGGAAAAATAAACAGTAAGCAAGAAGTAAAATTAGTCTCTTTAAATGTTCTTCGGCATGTGTATACAGAAGATCAGGCATGCAGGGGTGAGGACAGCTGCAAAAGCATATGCTTTAGGAGAAAGGTTTAAGAGCTGGGATTTGGAATGCCTGAATTTTTAGTCTTGGTTCCATCATTTGATTAATAGCTGAACTTCGGGAAAATCACTTAAATCTTCTAGGTATGATATTTTCTCTGATCTACTCAATAGGCTTGAGAATAAATGAGATCTCAGAAAAGAAAGAAATCGCCCATTAAAACCAACGTGCCCAAGACAGAACAGGCACACCTCGGAGACAGGGCAGGTTCGGCTCCAGACCACTGCAACAAAGTGATTATCACAATAAAGCCAGTTGTACTATTTCTGCTGGTGGAGGTTCTTGACTTCAATTTGTAAAAAACACAGTATCTGTGAAATGCAATAAAGTGAAGCACAATAAAATGAGGCATGCCTGTATTGTTATAATTGGTTAAGTGGGAATGGGTGGTTTACACGTGTCTCCACAACATTCACGAGTGGCAGGCAACTGATATTTCTGCTATCTCCCCTCTTCCTCTCTATTCCAGCAGCTACTCAGTGCAAAGAATTGTTTGTACTTTTTCCTCTCCTCCACCTAACGTGGCTTCATTTATTCCTTTCTTCTATTGTTTCAACTAATTCCCAAGGTGAAAAACTCACAATTCTTTATACAATAAATTGTATTCCGGAAATGGATCATGTTGTGACTTTGTATAAAATTTCATTTCAGAAGTCATAAAGTAGAAGACAGAATAATGTCTCACTAAAAGCACATTTTTATTGGTTTATTGATTAATGTTGTAATTAAGTTTCTATGTAACCTATTGGTTGTTACTTTATTTCTCCAAAAAAATTTTAAATTATTGGGAATTGGCTACATATGAATCAAGTTATAGATACTCTAAATTAGATATCCTATTATAAATATACACCAGACAAGCACTCTAGATCCAGAATGACATGTTGCAAAGACAAAATTCTCTGTTTCATAAATAAAAATGAAGTGCTCATGGGCATTTTGGTTTACCAGGGAAATTTTACATTGGAGGTAAGTTAGTTTAGCCTTTCTGTATGAAAATGCAGGTCTCAGTCTATGTTCACGTGCCTTTCCTCTTAAGAGCTGCAGCTCAAGGCCTAGGTAGCAAAATGTCCCTAGTGCCACTTGAAGTGTCATCTCAGGGAATGGGCATCAGGGAACTGAACGTCAGCATCTCCCAACATCAGGAACACCTCCTTTTAGCAGCTGAAGATATGTGAGAGCTGGGGCAGGGTGGCCACATTGTTAGAACACAGGGTACTTGAAAATTCTACTTTAAAGAGAATTTTTAACTTTAAAAGGAAGATTTATATATTATATATACCATGAAATGGTGTCTTCCTGTCTTATTACTCATGATATATGTAATAGGCATATTCAGTCCTGTAGGCTGGGCAAATACTTATCGCTGTAGATGATGGAGCAGACCTTTCAAGGTGGGTCCTATCTGAGGAGTGATAAAAACTGGCAAGCCCCTCTGTGGTAGAATTCTTTACCATTTGCTGTTGATTTTGCCCATCTGTTCTGGCAGTGGTCATGGCTTATTTGTTCTATTTTGACCTTCTAGGTCATGGCTTATTTGTTCTATTTTCCAGATCTGTTTAAGGATTTTAAAACTCCATCATTAGTTTTAAAAAGCATTTAGGTTATATATTTATTAGATAAAAATGAGCGTAAACTATATCTGAACTTAATTTCAAGAACATTTTCCAACCATACACTACAATCTTAGATTATAAAAGCAACAATACATCAACTACGGATTACCATGTTAGACATGGGGGAATGGACACACACACACACACACACACACACAGACTCATCATCATTATCATCATCATCATCATCATCATCATCATCAGCCAAGATGGTTCTCAAGTGATCCATCCAGTTTATTTAAAAATAAGAAACTTGAAGAATGAAGCAGCCACTACTGCCACCACTTCCTTTTGAGGAAATATCACAGACTTCATGAGTAGGAGATTTTCCCCCTGTGTTACATTTTCCTTTATGTAATTTTATCCATTATTTTTAGTTACCATTTTATGGTTATTTCTCAAAAATCTTGTTTCCCCTTGATACCCTTTAATTACTTCTAGATTATTATCGAGACTGCCTCCTTTTTATTCTCTAACTCCATTTGTTTCCCCTTGATACCCTTTAATTACTTCTAGATCAAGACTGCCTCCTTTTTATTCTCTGACTCCATTGCCTCAATCTAGTAGACATTATTTGGCTGTTAGCTATGAATTTAATATTTTTAATCCTTTATTATAAATTGGTTCTTTCAATTAGAGTTGTTTTTTAAATTCTTCTAAACATCTCATATTTTTTCTAAATCTCATCTTCCTTTTGGCTTATTGCTTAAAACTGTTTCACTTATGTAGATACTTGATTTCATTTGTAATAATCTAAAAACATTCTTTTTGATTGTAATAATCTAAATGCGTTCATAAGAAAGAATATACTTCTTTAGTCTTAAAGTATTAAAATCATGTTCTCAAAATATATGACAAATATTAAATATTAAACAAGTAAAAATAATCATTGTCATTACAAAATGCTTCTGGAGACATATAAAAAGGTTCTGACACATTCTTGCTGTCACACCGAGAACCTATATGGTCAATAATAACTAATGAAAACAAAGAATGGAAAGAAAGCATTCCCTTTAACTAAAATAAAGAGAAAAAGGGAGTGATTTAATTTAGAAGAAATCATGACTTCTATCAACAGATAACAATAAAATCCACTCTTAAGGATTTATGTATACATAATGTTATACATATATATTTTGCTTTTGCATATTAAAGCAGAAGTAAATATAAAGAAACAAATGGAAAATTCTACTGTTCCTTAGTCATAAATCAAACCTCACTTTCTGAAAAGCAAAACAATTCATTATAAACAGAGATGTATTTGGAGAAAGTTCTATTAACATGAATAAAATTTTTTTTTAAAAAGGGCTACAAGATGAGCATTTAATTAAAACACACATACACATACACACACATACTCACACACTTTCTTTAGGCTGCTGAAATATAGTCTTTAATTCTCCACTTAAAAAAAACAACAACAAACCCTGATTATAAGTTTTAAAACCATTTGAAGATGTGAAAGACTGTCTGCATTTCAGCCTACTTCAAAGCCAGTAAAGAAATCATTTCTTCTTCTTCCAACTCAAAGTATGTTTAGGAGCAAGACATCTGATAGAAGTGGTATTGCCAATCTAACCAATTTTAAAATATAAAGTGCTTCTAGCAATATTTGGATACATATAATTTGACAAAAAAGTTTTATAAACCTAAGCTTTGAAAAATAGAAAATATAAGCTCCAACAAAAAAGCATAATTTGTAATTGAAAGAAAATAATATTTTGTAGAAAAAACTGTCCTTCCAAAAAGAGACAAAAATGACTAACTTTTATTTCCCAAGAGAATTATGCCACTTTTATACAACAAAATTATAGTCACCACAAATTGCTTTCAACAATTCCAGTGCTTCTTCATTTGACCACTTGAAAATCAAAATTCTTTCAGATTATAAATATAACTTTTTATAACTCTGTTATTACGTACTGTGAATGGGGAAAGGGGGCCAATCTTGTGGCCGTAGCGTCGAATGGCCTCTCTGATGTGGCAGGGCTGGATGGCATCGCTGTGAGCCTCGACACCACAGGCCGCAGTGCTCTGCGACAGAAAAACACATAAATTGTTACTAAATGAAAAACACACAACAGAACTACAGTGTATAAAATATGAAAATAAACTTTTATAAAATGGATGTTTTTTCCCCTTAGGATGCACATCACTGTTGCCATATACTACATCTAAAAAAAATCCAATTAACAAATCAAAGATGACTCTTACATGACCTTCTCCTAGCAGACCTACCAAATGCAATTCTTATGCTCACAATATTTCACCTAGGCTGCACATACATCAAGGTACAGGAGAATACAGCCACTTGCGTGCAGATGAAAAGTGTCAGGGGGCTTGTTGAAAGAACCACAGGAAGCTATTTAAAAATTTTTTTAAACATTTATTATTATAAATGTTTCTTGGGAGCTTGTTGGACATATTTCTGAAATAATAAAAGATGTAAAATTGCTATAATATATTTATTTATACTGGGGTCATAAAAGATCATTTCAACTTGGTGCTCATTTTCTAGGTATCCTCAAGACAAAAATAAAATAAAGTAAAATAATAAAATAAAATAAAATAAAAACTTTCTATTTTAATCTGCCTTATCTGTAAAAGGCAGGTTTTAAAGTACAAAAAGACACAAGTAAAAGAAAGATTATTTGCAATGAGAGTGTGGATATCAACTCAAGAAATATATGTCTGGGATAAAGAAAACATTGGGCCATTGTAAATTGAGATGGAATAATGGTTTCATCTCTTCTGCATGATCTAGATATTGCAAAAAAAAAAAATGTATGTAACATGCTTTTAAAAAATTAAAATGTGCAATAAGGGCATTGTAATCTTGTGGGTCAGTTGCAGGATCTAGCTTCCCGACTACCTGGGTCCATATCATTACTGACTCTGTCAAGTTATGTAATGTATCTGAACTTCAGTTTCCTCATCTGTGAAATTGAGGTAATAATTATAATTGCTTTACAGCGCAGTGGATACCAGATACCAGATCATCAACATTAAAAGAATCAAGAGAAAGAAATAGTGGCTTGGGTAACTAACTATAACTGTAGTCTAGACATCATTCATAGCCACATAATGAAGATGATTTTTTTCTGATAATTTCTATAATTACCATCCTCGTAATTCTTTGTAGGGGTACAATTAATACAACTTCTATGAAAAGCAATTTGGCAAAATCTTATCAAAATGAAAAAGCACAACCATTTTTGACCCAGTAATTTCATATCTAAGAATTTATCCTACAGATGGTATTACAAGGTACAAAGTAACATACATATAAGGATTTTCACTGCAGCACTATTTGGATTGTTAAACTAAATTTTCATCAATAAGGGAACAGTGAAATAAATCATGATACATCCATTCAGTGAAGCAGAAACCACAGCAGCCGCCAAAAAGAATGAGATAGTTCCACACATACTCCCACTGAGCTCCATACATATCCTATCTCTAAGATGTATTGTGTGAAAAAAATGCAAGGTATCTAACTGGGTGATAGTATGTTACCACTTGTTAAACAAAACAAATAAAGGGTTAAATATGATACAGTCATTTAAGCATGTGATATTTCTGCAAGAATATACCAAAAATTAGTAATAGTGCTTATGTCTTGGATGGGTGGATGGAGGACAGGTATTAGAGGAGATATTTTTCATTGTATATCTTTCTGTACTTTTAAAATATACTTTTTGTACCTTGTGCATGCTTTTCCTATTACAGACTGGTAAAATAATATAAAAATTCCTACCAAATAAGAGCATTTGTTAATTATCCAAGGTGAACCTGAAATAAGATTTAAAATATAAAAGAAAACATCTTGATTATTTTTATTATTTTAACAAGATTTGAAATAAGCCAAATAGGAATTTACTCTAGGGTATCTTTCTCAATTTCATTCCAACAATACCCTAAATAACACACCTGCAATGCCCACAATAACACAGATGAAGTTATTTTAACTCCTCTTTGGCACTGATACGAAAGTGCATAGGGTTTTTATTGAGTGCTTTCTCGATTCTTATTCCACATGCTTTGCTTCAGTTGGAATGTATTAGAATAAATGCAATTATCAGGTACCTGATAAGTGAAAAGACACTTCTGTGAGTCCATTAGGCTCCCGAATGTGAATTTAGACTGATACAGACTACTATAGACTCATTAACATGCTATGTATAACAAATGCTTGTGAAGTTGAAGTATTCTATCCATTTGTAGAAATGAATGCAAATATTCAGCTATATTTGGGATCTAAAGTTAAGTTTTCCAGTGGAAAATAATGGAAATAAAAAGAGAGACATCAAGAGGGTCCGCACTGCATACTAAGTAAGGTGGGAAGCCCTTCCTGTGCATTCCCCGATGGCGTCGCCTTGCTCCTGCAAGCCAAATTTATTTTTCACTTCTTTTCTCCATGGCCAGTGTCGATCTACTCTTCCTTTACTTTCTCAAATAAATTTGGTTTTGATATAGAACATTTTGGTCAAAATCTCTCAGAACCTCTGGCATGGCAATCAAACAGAATTTGAGAACATTGAAGTAGGAGGCATAAGTTAGAAACTACCTATGATGGTTATTGGTATAATACGAAGACAAATAAACCAGCATGGTTGAATCATGTTATCTGTGCCCAAAAAAGATGAAGTTAACTTATATAAAAGTAAAAACGTTCAATTTTGTGAAAAATGATATTAGATTTTCCATTTTGCCAATTTCAGGTTTTACCTGCTATAATTAAGCAACTGCAAACATTAGTATGAAGTTCCCATGTGCACTTGCACTTTCTTGATTTGCCCATTGAGTTCTTTGGAAGGGAACCTTTAAATCTAAAGTGTTATATTCCCAGTATTGTTTCCATCTCAACAAATATCTCCACATTTTTGTCAACATCCAGTCCCTTACCGAGGTACTAATAATCTGTTCAAATTCAAAATTCATACCAAGTTTAGAATTTTTAGTTTAGCAGTGATCTAACATTTTCGCAATATACTTCAAAATTATTTCAGAACAATTAGCATTAAATTTGTTTGTTATCTAATATTAAAAATCTTGTATCTGCTGTAAACACATATGAACAGTATTAGATATATGTATCAATTCATCTTTCCTGTTCTGATTGTACCCACGTTTTAGAACATTCTTTACATTTTCAAAAATGAAACACATATCTGACAAAATACTGAGTCCTATTGTCTGTAGAATGTTTGCTAAAATCTCTGTGGAAACTAAACTCTACCTCCTTAAATAAAAGTACGAGCTGCTTGGTAGAGTTCTCTTTCATATGTCAAGTCCTCTTCCTCTTGGCTGCATTCATGGTCCTTCTTGTATTCCTCCATTTTATTTTCATTTATGTCTCTTCCAGAAATTGATGCTAGGTATTAGATGCTGTAGTCCCATATGTTTCCTAGATTTGAGTATTGTCTCTGTACTTGTCCTTGCTGGCTTGCACTGAATAAAATTTCTTGCAGTTTGAACTCTCAAATGTGTACAAGAAGTTATACTGAAACTTCTGTTCTCCCATGAATCGATTACAAGTGTCTATACCTGTCCTGACTCTTTTCTTTCCACCTTAAAAGATGCTGAAAAGGTAAAAGTGCCCTATCCTTGTCCAGCCTTCCCCTTCTAGGATAATCTAATGTTTAAGGACCTGGAATCTCAGCTAATTGCCTCTTGTTCTCTCTACATCTGTAATGGTGGACTAGATCTTTTGTTACACTTGAAATATTAAGTCTTACAAAGGAATAACACATACCTCAGATTAGAGAAAATGATAGTTAGTATTACTATTCCTAACACTTCGTTACTCACTGACCACAAAGGTTAATTTATGACTGGCCAGGCAAGTGTCTTCTTTTTCCTCATTGTTTTATATATCTCTCTCCCAGAGTTTTGTGCCTATAGAAGATTTCTTTTCAGATGAAGGGGGGCCATTCTTTGGCCAAAGGTTATTGTATATAATATAGTTAGTTTTCTCATTTTAAAGTTTAATTCAGATGTTATTTGTTAAAACTGTAGTTCTGTATAACTAGGAAAAGCTTTTCTCTAAAGAAATTAAAACTAGAAAATACATTTAAGGAAAAGACTAGAGAGAATCACTGTATTCAAGGATTCATACATTATTATATCTGGAAGGAACACAGAGATATCATCTATTCATACATTATTATATCTGGAAGGAACACAGAGATATCATCTATTCTAAACTCTGCCAACTCCAATCCCATCTTATAAATGAGAGAGTGAAGATAAGAGATATATGCTCAAGATTATAATGACAATATCAGAATATGGCTATACATTAAATCTTTTGTTTTCTAATACAAAAAGCAGGTATATAATAGAGGCTTTATTATTTTATGTAGAATGAATCATACCATGTTATCACCATAGCTGAAGTTTCCATTGAGTAAAAATCAAAACATGGCAAAACTGTATAAATGTAGAAAGATGTGGATGAGTAAATAGAGAAATAATGAATAGCTTTGAAGTAAGACATCATTCATTCTGATGCCACCAATTGTGAATTTAGGAAAAGTTAGGCATGGACTGGGCTAAAACTTACTTTATCCAAGAAACCTTGGCTGTAAAATAACTCTAATAGCTTTCAATAAGATTAGGAGAGAAATGTTTAATATTTAAGAGAAAAAAATATCAAGAATTTCCAAACTTATAAAGAATTATTTTATGTATGCATAATTACCAGGTTAATTACAACTTCTTCTTACATACTTTGCAAAGCAAGTCCACTAAAGAAATTTTTTAGGTAACATTTTGTTACCATAGTTTGTTACTGAATGAGCTGAAGAGCGCTATAGCTGAAATTCTTTAAAACTACTTTACAAAACGTAAGTTCCTTATAGTTCAGATTTTCACTTAATAAGTAAGCGGTGAGCTCTGTCATTTTGTAAATGAAAGGGGAAATCAGATATGAGGTTGAACTTTAAATTTGCTTACTATCGATTATGAAATTATATCTTGGCATGATTTCACTACTTGTTATGGATATATCAATAGACCGAAGTTGACAGAGAAAAGAGTCTGGACCACAGAGAAAGAGCAATAGAATTTATCTAACCTAAAGAACACAGAGAAAAGATTCAAAGAGAAATTAAACAGAGCCTCAGGTACTTGTGGAACAATGTCAAAGTAACCAATAAATATGTACTTGGAGTCTCAGCAGTGGAGGATGGAGGGAATGAGGCAGAAAAATATCTGAAGAAATAATTGCTGAAAATTCCCATGAATTGGTTAATGACATAAACCAATATTCAAGAAGTTCAGTGAACCCTAAACAGAATAAATACATAGAAAACCATGTATATGAATATTATGGTGAAATTGTTGCAAACCAAATGTAAAGACACAATCCTGAAAGCATCCAGAGAAAAATAACAGGTTACACACACAGAAACAATAACACAAAATCTACTGACATATGATTAAACATAATTAATGCCAGAAAACAGTGGAATGATATCACTGAAGTACTGAAAATAAAACTGCCAATCCAGAATTCTATAACCAGTGAAAATATCTTACAGGAATGAAGGAGTAGTAAAGGTATTTTCAGAAATAGAAAAACTAAGAGAAACCATCACCAGCAAAACTACACTATAACAAATGCTAAATAAAATTTACTAGAACAAAAAAGGAAAATGATAACAAAAGGAAATTCTTATCATCAAAAAGGAATGAAGAACAGATAAACTAGAGTTTAATGATAAAAAGAGAGGTTTCATAAATATAAATAAGTGAAGAGAGAGATGTGCCATGTTCATGGATTATAGATTTGGTATTGTTAAGACATCATATCCCCAATTGATGAAAACATTCAACCTGATCCCTTTCAAAATCTCACAAGGCTTTCCTTTTTTCCCCTTCCACGCCCCCTCCTCCTCTCTGATAGAAACTAACAAGATGATTCTAAATTTACACAGACATGCAAAGGTCACGGCATATCCATATTAAACTTGAAAAATAATGTTTGAGGACTTGTAGACTTTAAGACCTACTATAAAACTACAGTAATAAAGAAAGATGATACAGAAAAAAATAAATATAAAAGCTAAAGCTATAAAGCTCCCAGAAAAAAAAACACAGAACATTGTCATGAGTTGGGAGCAGTGAAAGGTTTTAGACAAAACACAGAAAGCAATAAACATAAAAGAAAAAATTGGATAAATTAGACTTCATCATTAGTTCAAATCTTCTGCTCAGCAAAATATACCATTAAGACAATAAATAGGTAAGCCACAAACTGAGAGAAAATATGTGAAAAACATACATTTGAAATAGGATTGTTATACATGACACATGGAGAACTCCTATAAGTTGGTAATAAAAGATAATCCTCCCTCAAAAATATTTTGTAAAAGACTTAAAGAGACTCTTCCTTGCAGAAGATATATGAATGGCCAATCAGCACATGAAAAAATGCTCAACATCATTAGTCACCAGGGAAAATGCAAATTGAAACTATAATAAGTTACTATTAAATATCCATTAGAATGGTTAAAATTAAAAACAGTGATACCAAATGTTGACCAGTGAACTCTCATCTTGCTTTATCCAGAAGAAAGCTGTTAAAGTTTGAATAAAAGTCATTGAGTATGGTTAAGTATTGCTGGTGAAAGTAAAAAAAAAAAATGATAGAACCATTTTGGAAAACGTGTCTTGCAGTTTCTTTAAAAACCAAACACATACCCTACTCTATGACCTAGTAATTTCATTCCTAGCTATTTACCTAAGAGAAACAAAAACATTTTTTCATAAAGACTTGTACAATAATGCTCATAAGAGGTTTATTGATAATACCTCAACAACTGGAAACAAACTACATGTCCACCAAAATGAGAATGAAACTGATATATTCATCCAAGGGAACATTATTCGGCAGTAAAGAGAAATACATTGCACTCCTACTGAAAATATAAATTTCAAAGAAAAAAAACCTACTGAGTGAAAAAATTTCACACAAAAGAGTATGCATACTATATTCTCTTTATATCAACTTCTAGAACAGAAAAAACTAATCTATGATGAAATAAATCAGAATAGTTGCTGCTTTTCTGAGAATGATGGCAGGAGCTGACTGGGAGGAGGCATGAAGAAACTTGCTGAACTGATGGTAATGTTTTATATCTTGAGAGGGGTTTAGAAAACAACGAAGTTTACATATTTGTCCAAATTCATTAAATGGTATACCTAAGAACTGAGTGGTTCGCTGTATTATAAACTTTACCTTAAAAAAAGAACCTTAAATAAATTATACATAATGAAACATGTAGGTACGAAGCATACTGATGTCTTCAGTTTTCTTTGCATTGTATCAAAAAGACAAAATGATGAATGGATAAAGGAACAATATGATACATAGCTATAGTAAATGTAAATATATAGTTAATATAGTAAATACAGTAAAATTTTAACTGTAGAATCTAGATGGCAGATATACGATGTTCATTCTATAAGTCTTTTCACTTTTTTGTATGTTTGAAAAATTTTAAAATAAAATGTAAAAAAAATCAATATCTTGCTTTGTCCAAAAGAAAGCTGTTAAAGTTTGGTAGAAGTCATTAAGTATGGTTAAGTATAAACTGGCTACTTCTAAAAATTGGAATTATGAGAAAAACAGAACATTTTCCCTATCTCTGAAGAGAACTCAACCAGATCTTCTTTATCTGAAAAAAAAAAAAAAAAAAAAAAAATCACTAACCTTTTTTCTTTTCCTTTGCTTGGTTTTAGCTGAGTCTTGTCCAGCACTCCCATTCCCTAGGGATCCTGATGTGGTTTTCCCTGAGTGCTGTGATCCAGATGGCGGAGCTGTTGGTGTAGGAGGAGGTGTATTCTCAGGAGAGTCTGGGTAAGACTTCATGCAAGACCACTGCCCAAAGAAATGTGGCTTTGAAATCGAGTGACCAGGACTTCTACTAACATTCAGTTTTGTTTAATGTTTCATGGATTTAATACTATTTGACGCTTACAAATATAAAAACACAGTTTATTATTATCCAGTCCTCAGAAATGATGCCCCCACCTTCTCCCTAAGGGTTTAAATATGTTTATTTTTTAATCTATCAATCATTTAGATAAAAATCAGGATTACTCAGATACAGCTTTCAAATTTCTGCAGATTTTGTCGGATACAGACATTTCTACATCTGACCAGCTGTCTTTAGACTGAATACCTTGTGGTCACTGTAGATACCTCTAGCTCCTCCCACATCTAGCTCCTTCCTTCATAAAATCCCGCCTATCTGGATCCTTTGGCTATGACTGTAAGTCTGTTCTGTCTTCCATGTAGAAGCACTTCAAATACTTGAAGACTGTTATATTTCACAGCTTTTTCTCTTCTACAGGTCAAACACCTCAGGTTCCTTCAACCACTTATTATGAGACATATTTCCTGGTTCCTTCACCCCATGATCACTCCCTTTTAGACATTCTCCACTATGTCAACATCCATCCCATAAGATGTCGCCTAAATACTAAAATAGAACAAAGTTGCCTTATCGGTAACATCATAATATTGGCTCCTAAGAAATTTACAGGCAAACAAAAGTCTCTGTTTTTTCACATATGGTATTATTAATCTACCTCATCCTATCAGCCATATTAACCATACCATCTACTGGCCTACAGTTCTCTGTAATGTATTTAAAAAATTACTCTAAACTTTGTAAAATGTTTTGCTGAAATTCAGATATTGGTTTCAAGAGTATTTCTTTGATCTGCTTGCCTGGAAACATTATCAAATAGGAAAGATAAAGCTAATCTGGCATGAGTTGTTCTAAGGAAAACCAAGACAGCTCCTAAAGATCATTGCTTCTTATGCATATATTAGAAAAAAATGTAGAAAGTTAAATTAATATTAAATTTGCTAATCTAATCTGAGAAACCCAAGCTTAATTAGTGCTCAAGAAATTGCAATCATTAAAATGAAATGCATTTGTATTAACTCTACGCCTGGAGGTTCTGATTCCAATCCACTACGCATAGCATCTCCAGCTGGGTCTCAAACCACCCTTTTGAACTTATAGCCCTTTAACTAAGAAACCTTCAACTCTTCCTTAATAACTACGCATCTAAGGCCTTAATTTTCTCATCGAAATTTCTACTACCCCTCCTCAATGAATCCGTTGCTTGAATATTTCAATCAAGAGTTTTTTCCTTGTACAATTATACTTACGCTGCCTCTGAGGCCTAGAGTATTCTCCCCACTTTTATCATCTCATCAAAGTCCTACCTTTCCTTCAACACCCAGTTTCCTCTTTGAAGTTGATTGTAATGTCTATGCCACTGATTTGGAAATTAGTATATGCTATCTGAAACTGTTTGCTTGCTCATTTATTTCCTTGTTTGTTTTACAGAATGTTCTACCTCCCTCAAAAGACATCATATCAGTCTCCGGAATTCCCCTTTGTACCCATCTTAGTAAAGTCCTTGAAGCAGGCCCTTGATGTCGATTGCTGATTTGTAATGTTGATGAGTAAAGCTCCTACTTTACTTAGGGTGGCCATTCTCTTTGTGTTATGTGAAGTAATAAAGAGCAAGAAGACTTCCAGTCGCACTGAATGTTCATTCTGACTACCAGTCACATAGGAGGAGGGGTGTCTGGCAGGCCAGGAAAAAGCTTGAGGCTTGTACTAACACATTTAGTCAGGATGCTTTCCGACACTCATGCTCCCACCTCCCAGAGAGCCCAGGAAATTCAGCACACATAGGCCATTTTTCTTAACTGCTGGGTAGCTGGGAACAGCGGCTGTGGTTGCTGAGAAGTTGCCCAGGGCAGCTTGGCCACCCTGGAGAACCAAGAAAGGGGGGGAAATGAAGAGTTTTCCTAGCCATGCAAGCAACCCCTTGAATGTTAAGGGAAAAACTAGGCTTGTTATGTTCGCTGTAAATTTCTTCAATTAGAAATGTTACAACAAATTTGTGTGATGTTAATGAAAAGCATACTATGCACATATTCATAAAGTGAAAATGTACTGAAGACATTTTAAAGGGTGTTCTTTGACATCATAATTTGGGTTTGTAACATAAAGAAAACAAATAGTGTTTAATCAACTCCGTAAGCTTTAGGGACTTTTAAAGTATGCTGACTGATAATGATGTATGACCTTTTCTAAGGAAAAAAATGGATTTTAATAGGCATAAACATTTTAATTCCTACTTGGATTCCAAGCTAATCTGATTCTTTAAGGAGCATAAAAAGATGTCAAACTTTTGGCTTGTAATAATGTGCTAAATAGGCATGTATCTTTGTAGATTTATAAAGTATCCTAGAGCAGAGATACTTAAACCTCTGGGTTCACAGGGTTTACCGATCCCTTGGATCCACAGAATGGTTTCAGAGGGTTCTGAACACTCTGAAATTGTATGCAAAATTTGCAAATGTGTTTAATGGGAAAATGGTTCATAGTTTTCATCAGATTCTCAAAGGGGCTTACCTACTTTCAAGTTATATATTTCACCCAACTTGATCTAAAGCTCATTTCACAAATATACATGCAGATGTTAACCTAACCTCCATGCTGCCTTCTCTGTGGTTATTAGACTGAATTCTATAAAACTGCTTATGTTTGTAAAAAAGGTCAAATATTAGCAAATTCATTCAATAGATAATATTTCATTATGGTTTTTAGGCACATGCCAATTACAGAGAGTATTTTTGATACCAAAATTATACAAAGCCTTAAAGTTGGCAAGAAGATTTTATAGTCTTCATAGGTTGGGATCTCAATAACATAAACTGGATCAGAAGAGATGTGATCTTCACATGACAGGGCCGATCTAAACACAGAAGATAAATGGAGCCATGCTTCTTTAAATCATGTCTAGAGATGGATCAATAACTAGAATGTAAAATTATCAAAAAAGACCAAAAATTATTATTATCTGAATAATAATAATCCTCTTATCTTTAAGTCACAAAGAAATAAATAACTTTGCTCAATGTTATTCAATTACCAAAATCAGCTGTTCATCTCCCACGGAAATGAAAAGTGCTCTGCCACTACCCTTCTTTCCCTGAAGGGCTAGGAAAGCTAAATAAGGCAGGGGAAAGGTGAAAAAAATCATCATATTAAGTGGATCATTAGGGCAGGCACACAGTAAGTGTTTAATTAATATTTGTTTGAATGTCGAATGTATTAAGATTCTTTGACTAAAGTCCATTAATTCCTACATAATCTTTCCCAAAGAACTACAAATAGAAATACAAATCTAAAAAATCCACAGATGTGTCTGTCAGATTTTTTGATACTCACCTCAGCAGAGTTGTGATACTGAATGAAGGTTGCTGAAATGGCATGGCTGAAGGGGTCTCCCGCCTTGGCTACCATGTCCTGCCTCACAAGAAGAGCCAGATCCACTAACTAGAAGATCAGAGCAATGAAAATAAAGTCACATAGCTGGAAATAACTATGCATGTCACTGAAGTGGCAAAACTAAAAGCAATACATTCTAAATGTTATTGATAATACTGTCTGCCTAAAAATCTGTATTGTGGACATGAGCGTATGCTTTCATTGGTAGGTAAATGAACCTACCAATGGATAGAAATGATATATTCTGACCTTCTAGGGAAACTTTATTTCATAATCACTAAAGCAGCATTTTAAAACACAGATTTCTAGGCTTCAAGCCCCGAGATTCTAAATCAATATGTCTGCTCTGGGATGCAGTCTAGGAATTTATATTTTAAACAAGAACCAAGGAGATGATGTTACTTGTGGTCTAAGGACCATGTTCTGAGAAACTGCCAGAGGGCACTGATTCTAGACTCAGATTTTTGCAAGCACTCGGTAGATTGTACTTATCTAAAAAAGTATTTTTCAAAGCTCAAAAGTAATCTCTAAACAGGGCATGTATATTTAGAATTCAATGTTGAGAAAAAGTATGCAGGATTTCATTTTTGGTAACGATAAAGTTGCAAGAAACAGTCACTTTTACTCTACATCCACCAGAGCCGAAAATGCAAAGAAATGTAACTGAACTGTTTTAGAAAATGATAAGATGGTCATAGGAGAAAACTCATGGCTATTTTTATTCCCGGCAGAGCAGCAAGTGGAAGAAGAATTGATCATGGATAGAAATAAGGAGAAAGCAGCCATGTATGGCTTGATGTGACAGATTAAAATTCTTACCTGTGCCACAGTTTCGTATGCTAAATATGCTAAAATTTCCATAGCGACAACATTGGGTTTTATCTCCATACTGCTGCAGTCCAACCAGTCTCGAAATTTGGAGGCTTTTTTGGCTAGCCATTAAAAAAACAAGTATAGAACATTTAATTTTTGAAGTGTTTTAATACTGCAAATTACTATCACAAAGTGAAAAATATGTCTCTTGAAAACTGCATATGAAAGATAATACATACAAAATACAAAGTTTTTGAAGTTTTATTAGCGTCTAGTCTAGCCCCAAGAAATTCCTTATGCATTTGGGTCCTTTATTTTGTATTTATGCTACATAACATAGTATACTAAATTACTTAATGTTTAGCACTTCTGCTGTGTCAGAATCAGTTATAAATTACCACTGGCCACAGCTTATGTTATAACAAGAGTAAGAAGAGTTATTTGCTTGATGTAACTTTTTATTTATTCCTGTGGGAAAAAAATCTTGCTAGAAAGAACCTGTTACAAGAAAAGGAACATACAGAAATTGTATTTTTAATACCTCTCAAAATGCATCTCTTACACATTAAAAGTCATAAATTTAGAATCAAATAGAATAAACTGCTGTCTGGCCTGATCTAAGCCTGCGGTTACATTTTCCTGATTACAAAGGATGTCCAAATTCTTAAGCCTGACTTTCAAAACCATCCAGAATGATTCAAACCTGCCTTTACATTATTCTCTATTGAAATGTCACGTGGCCTTGAGTATACTCTTTTCTGTGTTTGCCCCTGTTCCTTTCCCTCTATGGAATGCCTTCCTATCACTCTTCATTCATAAGAATCCTACCCATACAGGCCAAAGATATACTCCATTCTAGTCATTTATTGAATGCTTATATCATCAGATATCCTTTCGAGTTTGCTTATAATTTCCTAAACCATATTATAAGTTCTCTATTGGCAAATACCATGTGTCACGTCTCTCTGCAGACCTAACAGTACCAAGCACATATGGAATCCTCCGTTAAATATCTCTAAACTGCCACAGAGCTAAGCAGAGTCTAACTTGATATAGGGCCTTCATTATATATTACTAATTTAACTAGCAACCTGGAGGGAAAAGATTGATTGTGAAGATTTTATCAAGTCTATAACATAATCATCTTTTAAAAACCCTACTGATTATTCTTTTGATTAATCTGGTCCCGCAGGTCTATAAAACACTTAACAGTAACTTAAGGCATGATGTTTTGATCCTTATGGATACAATCTTCATGGATTCCACATACAGAAGAGTTTTTTTCTAAATAAATCACAGAAGACCTTAAGTCCTGCTATCGAAACGCACATCCAAAGTTGTCAGCTGTGGCAGAATTATGATAATCCCCCTTAAAGCTATCTCCCTAAAGTAACCAATCTTCTAAATGCTCTCTGACATGTCACATTCCATCTAACTAGTAAGCTGCAATAGCTCACAAACACTTGTTTAACATCTGTGGAATACTTCTGAAGTTAAAGTTAACAGACAGCAATTTGGCAAGATCAATAAAATGTACCTTATTCATTTCTCCCTTTGACAGATTGTTAGGAACACAGAAACAGATATTTTGTGACTATGAGGGAGAGGGAATAAACAATTTATTTTAAAAGCGAGAGTAAGGATAGTTCTTAGTATTCCATCAGATCTGTCTGCCTAAGCAAAGAAATTAGTAGCTTTCTCACTAGATTTTAAGTACTGAAAATGTAGGGACAATGACCACGTGGCCACCACTGTATCCCCAGCACCAAGAACAGTGCTGACATTAGAAGACTCACAAAAAATATTTCTAGAAGAAATGGGTGAATGAACAAACAAATAGATGAAAGATATTTCTTCAGTAGAAGGTTAGGCTCTAAACGTTTCTATACATCAAAAAGATGCACAGAGGTCCCATAAACTTACTTGAGTTACTGCTATTTCAGCAACAAGAAAAGATTCTCTGAGTTAATTCTCTTCCTGTCACCTGGAACAGGATACCTTCAGAGATAGAACCTTTTAGGACATTGTTGGTTCCAGAAAAAGAGGTACAGACATCCCTAGTCATGATAGATTGTTTCCATTGAGAAGTGAAGGGGCATCAGAATGAATGAGTTCCTTTTCCTTCACCCCTCTTCTCAATATATCCTGGAAACTGATTGACAATTTAAATAGAATCCTGAATAAAGGTCAAAATCTCCTAAGATTATTAGCTTTCTGACACTATCTGGGTTTCTGGCCTGTGCTGGAATTAAAACAACTTCGGACATGATTCTATATGGAAATTTAAGGTTACTTAATTCTTATACATTCTTGTATCCTTCTCATCAATGATCACTAGTAAAATTCAAGTTTCTCCCAATTTTCCATTCTCTCATCCCTGTATACTATTACAATATTTCTGCCTCACCCCTTTTCACCAGTCTTTCCATTCCTGATCCTTCCCTCAGAATCCTGTGTAATGCTTATTCCAGTCTGAAGAAATCTTCTGCTATTTTAACCTTCTCAAAACCACTGTTCTCTGGGTTAAGACTATTTGAGAATAGTCCTCCTCAGAGGGCATAGTTTTCTCTGGGACCTTTAAGAATACAGGTTCCTTTTTTCTTTCCTTCTATAAATATTTATTGGTCAGCTACTGATCACCAGTCTGTTCATTTCCCCAAGTAACAGAGGACCTGGAGGCAATGTATCTTCATTCTCTTAGTATCTCCTACAGAGAAAATATAGAACAAGTAGACAGCAGAATTCTTACCACAAACAGAGATAACAAAATCATATTTTAACAAATAACTACTAACCTAAAATTTTTCTACCCAACTAAACTATCATTGAAATATGAGGGCAGAATAAAGACATTTTTAAGACAAAAATGAGAACTTTAACCACTTACAAAGCCCTGGGAAAAACAAACTTCGGCTAAGAAGAAAAGTTTACTATTGATCAACTTTAAATTTTTAAGTCAGTGATGTATATTAAAAAATTAAGGATAGCAACTAAAATAATAAATAGAATATATATGAAATGACTGGGGAACAATGGAATGGAAAAAACTCAATCTAATCAAACGAATAAAAGGAGGAGAAGCAAAAAAAAAAAGCACAGTAAATTTAAAACACAAAATAAGACAGTGTATATAAACCCAAATGTATAAGTAATTGAATACATTAAAATTAAATTCATCAATTAAAATAAAGAGACTTTCAGATTGACTAAAAAGAAAATCGAGATATTTGTTTACAAAATTCACATATAAAACAAGTTGAAAGAAAAGGATTGCAAAAAGGTTACCAAATTGTAACTAGATTAAAGCTTTAAAGACTTTGAGGGAAATGACTCTCTGACTTATATAAATATAAAAGAAAAGACTGGTGAATTTGACCAATGTCCCGATTCTACAACTTACCCTCAGCCTATAAACTTATAGACTTGTTATTTTAAAATGCACCAGAAGTCCCAATTAGTGAATGCTATTATCAACTATTTAGGAAGATATATGACTAGATCACAATTCCTACAGCCTGGTAATTTATCGGAAGAAGAGGAATGAAATGAGCCTAACACTCTGACCAGCGTGGGTATCAATTCTGAATTTGCTGACCCATGTGGATTAAGCATTCCCAAACACAAAATAGATTTTCCCACTAAGGTTTCAAAATGAAGCACCTACAGGTGCTTAGAGAAATATTTTTAAATGACCAAATCTTTCTTCTTTAAAGAAAAATTTAAGCATAATATACTGTTTATACTATAATTATTTTACAAAGGGAAAATATCAGTTTTTATCTGTTACAGTTTATTATTGTTACAAAAACTGAGTTATTAAAAATCTGCTTTTCAAATAAAAGATGTATTAGAAAATTTTAATAACTATATGGTTTTAGTGTCAAATAGCACTTCTGTTCCTTTAAGTGAATTAAATTTAAAATATGATTTAAAAAAAATAGTTCAATAGCACTAAATGTTACTTTATAAACTGCAGATTTATACTTATAAAAGACTTGAATGCCATTTTTAAACCTAAAAATTACAATACAAAAACCTCTCATTTGCTGAAATTGCCATGATCTGAAGTGTCATTTACTTAATGCTTCACAGATGTATGATGCCAAATTGTTAGTCAGACTGCAAAGTATATTTAGTTAGGAAAAAAATCTTCCAAAACATGTTTTCCTATATTTTACTGACATTTACATGGGGCACTATTTGAAATGTGTCATTTATTTGCACTTTATGATCTATAAATGAAGCTCTCATTTTCTTTTTCCAAATCAAATACATTGTTATTGTGACCACATAATAGCTTTTCGTTTAAAGACACCATTGTGTCTATAATCCCTCAGAGCGGGGTCATGTGCTACTTTGTCAGACTTGTAGCTGGACTTTTCATCACACATGCTCTTTGACCTTTACCCTGAAAGTTTTAGTCATTACTGAACTCTTGCTGTAAGGATGTGCTGCTATACAATTGAGCCCACTATTTATCATGAGCCTTAGTGTACTTTTAGTAAGCCTGTGTGCAGTGATGGGACAGCACTCATTTTACCACGTGGTTATTAGTATTACAAGAGCATGGACTAATGAATTTGGCTAACACCGAATGCGTGCCACAGCAGGAGGTTACAGACAAAAATGGAAGAGATTATTGATATGTTCCTCTGTGGTAATATGAGTATGCATAAATAAATGAAAAATTTGTTATTTATGAATACATATTAGGGGCTTTTAAATGTCATGATTGTACTACGAGTCCATTATGGGTCAAGTATAATCAGCAATAATAGTGTGAATATGACTAAGACACTGGGAAAGAAAGTAAAACGGGAATATTAGGAAAAATGGATTTTTTCTAACTAAAAGTAATGTGAATAATTAACATGGCTCTCTGTGTATTACTCACACCCTTTAAAACTCCTATTAATTGCAAAACAGTAAGAGTGGGGTAAAATCTTTTATGGGCACCCCTACAATGCAGGGGCTGTTCCTGTAACAGTTCTGTTACATATACTAAATTCACCCATTTCTAAGGAACAGAGATTGTGTCATACTTTACTATATCTGTAACACATAATCTCTTAAACTTATAATGAAGCAAAGTTAAATGCTTACTTACAGAAACTTAATTGTCGACTTTCACAGAATTCTGCATATTGAGCTGAATCCATAATTCGAGTTTGTCTTTCTGCTCTCTAATAGATAAAAATAAAAAGACACGAAATTTTTTTTAAAAAGCAAGTAGACGAATATATGTTTTCACAGCTAAAACTTAGAATTGAAGTTCCATTTTCCTTTCCTAACTCTAGGTAAACAGTTTAGAACTGCCATAAATACCATGATACATAAAATTATAAGTAACAGTAGTTTTGAAGTTTGTTTCTCTTGGAAATAAAGTTTAAAATGCCATGTTCCACTCCTGTTACTGCCATTATAGCAGAAGGAAAAAACTAAAGGATCCTGCTTCATAGATTGTGCACTTCTAAATTTTCTTAACAGTACCATCATTTTAAAGAAACTGTGAGGAGATAACAAATCAAATTGTTAATGATTACTGTCCATTTGCCTTAAAGGTGAGATTTTTAAATATTAAAATAGGAGTCAAAGAATGGAATCCATGTATTTCCCTTCAGTTTGAACATGGAGCCAGAGCTAACAAATCCATATTTTAAATTGCAAAGAAAATAAAGAAAAAGGTAAACACAACACAAATCCTTTCATCTGAGTCCAGGTATGATTCACAGTTTGGTACAGCTTCATTCGTGGGTTTCTGATTCAGTACAGCAGATGTTTGCTGCTTCATTGTCCCACACGAGGTAGGATAATTATAATTCGCCCACAGTTTGGTGGGAAAGAATACGACCGCTTCCGCTTCCTTGGCGAGGGAAGCATTTTGAAATGAGACAGGCTGGTACTTCTTGGAATGAATTTCTGGCCAGTAAAGGAAAAAATTCCCTGAGATTTTAATTTTTTTTCTGCTTTGGAAGGACTTTCAGCAAGTTTTCTTTATCACGGTTGTTGGAGTACATAAGTACCACTTATAACGTCTGTGGATATTTTTATATTTTTTTAAACTAAAATTATTATTTTTTCATTTTGTTTGATTTGGGTAAGTAGTCAACTGAATTCCAATGATATATCAGTTGATGAAATGAATAATGATACACTAGCTGCAGCTCAATACAGAAAAGATATAGATGGGAGGTGGGAAGTAAGGTAAAATTTACTAACTACTGTGGTTCCTTCTAAGATCACTGAGTATTTTTTCCCTTTCTTCTCTTCCACCCCTTCCTCCCTCCCTTCTTTCCTTCCTAAATCTCCCCCACACATACAAACACACATATGTGCTGATACAAAATCCTCTTGATTTGTTTATTTTAAACATTTTTATTTACCCTTTAGGTTCAAGTATCCTTTTTGAACATGTACAAGTAAATATTACACACACATATGTATATTATGTGTGTATTATACACATACATACATATGTATGTGCATATGAATCCTCTTCTGTATATATCCGAAACATCATGTTTTCTTAATGGTGTATTATTGGGTGAATTTTTATGTACTTAGAAAGTATTTTTTTGGTATGTGAATGCATAATTTAGATTTGTCCTTTTTTAATGTATCTGGTACATGAATTTTTTTTTTTTTTGCTAATGGAAAATAGGAAGTAAGGAAGGGTGAATTTATGTGCTTTGAACATAACAAATCAGTTACTAATCTGTTTATTAAAAACACTTCTAAGACTGCTAACACTGTATCGTGCCTGTCAGTTAGTCCATCTGTCTGTCTGATTCTGACTATAGCAGGGACCTCTCAAGTTTGAATTTTTAGCTCCTAGAAAATAACTGACAAATGTTAAATAATAAAATATTTGTGGAATGAACAAATGCTACCATTTTAGTCTACAATAAAGGCAAATGATTATCACCATAATGCAGCCAGTCCTTGATCATCTATTACTACAGGTCTTCTTTGCTACTCTTCAGCTAGGCAGCCTCATCCAACCAACACATGCTAGACTGAAAGAATTTAGATAATCTGAAGACAGATTATCTGAAGACAGAAAGTTCCTAACGGGATTCTTAACACTAACTTTTCTTCCACCAAGTAGGACAATCAAGATTTGACTTTTACATATATGCTCAGATAGTTGATATATCTGTGATAAGTATTTCTAGAAATGAAAGTTAGGAAAACTTAACCCTAAGAGTTTAACTTTGCCATGTTGTCAGCTTTAATTAAATGAGGTGTATAGCTAGTTGGAAGATTTTCAATCGCAAAGCCTATCATCTGACTACATTTAAAAGATGTTGAAGGCCTTTACATTACTGTTAGCTACCTTCATTCCTTTTAGAAGCCCTCCTCAATGCCTGTTCTTTTTTCTTCATTAAGCATCTTTCTTTGATTCCAGTTTCTCTAGCATCTAAGCAGGAACCTTAGATCCCATGAAGCTGGCCCTGGGGCATGCATAGGAAGCCATTTACTAAGAGTCTAGCATACAGCAAACACTCAGTGCAAAGCAGTTGACTCCAAATCAAATATTTATAGGCAGTACAAAATGATGGCATATTAGAGATAAAGGGTAACAAAGTTTATCTTGTTCAATCACTCTCATTTTAAAGATAAGGGAACTGAGGTTCAGAGACAAGTGACTTGTCAAAAATGACCAAGTTAGAACTGAAACCTAGGACTTCCAATTCCTGAACTGGCCTATTTTCATTATAAAAAGCTATCTTCAACCTACAATAACTTTTTACTTCAATAATTTTCTTTGGAATCCTCTAAACTCTACACATTGTATTACTAAAATGTATCATATAGTCACTATAATTAACATGTCTAAATTGTTCATGAAAAAATCAAATTAGTGAGGTCTGGGGTCAGCACAAAACGCACAACCTGGAGATAATCTAGTGCAGAGTGTACAAACTGTAATGTACCCGATAGCGGACTGCTGTGCTGCAAACCTATCACAAGTGTGTAGAGATACTGTTTCTCCCCAACCTTCTGGATGCCACACAAGGGGGTGGGCACAGAATCCCAAAAGGTATACGTTGCCTTGTTTATTTATCTTGGTTTCGCATAAAAAAATTATCATTTTCTGTGTGAGCCCTGTCATGAAAAGGCATGCACGCTATTCAAAGCGTGGTCAAGTAAGCTCAACATGAAATCAGAGACACTAACTGGGATGTGAAGATGATGATGAGAGTGATTCAGATATGCGCATCATACTAATTTTTGTTTACTCCTCTCTCTTCCCCATCAACTGTTTCAAATAACCAAAAGAAAGAGACAAATTTGGCCTTATAAAAGGATCCAAATCATTCAACATCTGATTATATTATCTCCTGTCCTTTATACTAACACCTTAAATCCTGGTAAAAGCAGTATATACTTAACCTTCATAGACTCTGTGTTCTTTAAAAACAGTAACTATGTTTTGCTTCTATGATCTCAGTGTTGGCCAATGTTTAGCTTGGACTTCCCTGGGCCTCAGTAAATGTTTGCTGGCTAGCCGAATGACTGGGCAGATGGATCGATAGGCTGAGGCAAAAGAAATGCATATAAATCCTTGCTGGTTGATCTGAAATCAGAAACTGTAATATCTGTAATCAAATTGTATGAATTCCAGAGAGGGTAGGCAGCTTTTATTTTTTTAAACCAAAGACCCATTAAAAAAATCAAGACATTGCCAACTATTAAGTAAGTTTGGATTTATTTCCTGTGTTGTCCTAATACCACTTTCCCTTCTGCCTCTATTCAGATTACTTATTCCATTCCACATTAACATGTACATTGGCTGTCCTTTTCTATTCCTGGTACTGTAAGAAATCTCTGGAAAAAGATGTAAGGGGGAAACATCATAAGCCTAGCGAAAAAGCATGATCAGAATAACAATGCCTACTATTTACATAGAGCAACACAATAACCTCTAAAATAAACAGTTTTAATAGCTTCAAATTCTAGTTGAGGACACTGAAATTTAGAGAAGTAAAAAAAATTAAAGCATATAGTTAATAAAGAGGCAAAGCTACATGGAAAACTTGGTCCTAAATGACCTAGTCTGAGGTATCTCACTGAATAATCACAGTAGGTTTATAATAGCTTTTATTCATACTGAACATTCTCAAATTACACAATGCTTTTTTGATCTCAGACTGCCACGTGAATGTAAGGTCATCTTTGGATTAGTCATGCTCTTGTATCTGCAAGTCCAGTTCGTCTTCTATTTAATCTGTCAAGTCTACCCAGTCCTTAGTTTCTTAAAGTATCAACAGTGCTCTTGAACACTCATAAAAATATGCTACATACACAAGCTTTTCTGAAATTGAACTTTACTGGTATTACAATACCGCAAGTATTACCATATAGGGGCATACATGGAAAAACTACTTTTGAAAAATTACTCTTAAAATTTTCCACTCAACAATATTTTAAAATTTAACTGGAATGGCTTTTTAAAATGTAAAAGAGAATAGTTATGCTTAATTGTCACTCATCTCACTACCAAGAAGTTACAGCTTTTTCTGGTTACTGTAAAACAAACTTAGAAGGCAGAATTCCATGCCAAATGAACTCATTTTTGGGTCCTACCTAAATGAAAACAGGGAAGCAAATATCTCTACAGATGCAGTACCTAGTATAATTTGTTTGTTTAAAACTTTGAACACAACAGACCCTCAGTATATATTTGTTAATTTAAATTTTCAGTGAAAAGTTTTGATTTCAATAAATGTGAAATTGGATGTGTCTTTGAAAACTACTTGCAGCAATGACAATCAACATTTGCCCCTGCCTATACCAGTCTGAGGTATGAGGCTGGATTACTTATGCAGCATGCAGTTTCATTTAAATTCTCCACATGCTTTCACTGAAGCATATGTAATAGTTATAGAAGCTACGTGCTGGCATATCTCTTGGCGGCTTCTCAAGACATATGACATTTATCTTTCTTCGGCAACGCAGAATCACAGAACATAACTTTTAAACCAAGATGAAAGTTTATCTGCTCTCACTTCCACCTCAGATTTTTTTTTTTAAAAATCATATTTTGATTACGCTTAGAAGTCTTACAATTGAAATGCAAAGTCTTTTCTGCATGGAAAAGGCAAAATGCCAATGGTAAGCTACCAACTACTTCATGTTTGAGAGAAATTGGTTGCTGAACTTGGAAATTTCAAAAGGA